CGGCATGCTCGTCGGCTGCCTTGTTGAAACTCTTTGCGGTGATCCTGCGGGATCTGGTTTCCCTGTTTTATGCTTCCCGGCTCGCGTGTCGTCAGGGGGGTCCTTGCCTCCTCTCTGGAATCGGCCTGGGCCCTGGCTCTTAGGATGTCTTCTCCCTTTTGTCCTCTGCTTTTTTGCGGATTCTGCCGTGGCGCAGTATTTGCAGGCTGCTTTGGCTAGTTGTAGTCCTATGTCCGACTTGTTGGTTCTCAAAAGGTCCGGGGGGGATTCCCAGCGAAGTCGTGCCAGGACTCAGGGTTCCTCTCGTCGTGGTAGGCCTCTGGTGCCAGGTTTGGGTCTGGCCCCGCCTTCGGACCTACCTTCGTCTGGTCAGCGTAGTGTTCACTCTGTGCGAGGTTCAGGGTCTCGTAAGGGGCGCCAGCCCTTTCACAGTTCGCCCATTGACGGGTCGAAGGGAGGGACCCCACCAGACCCCACCGTCCCAGGCTGGCCAGGGACGGTGGGATCCGTCCTTCCGTCGGGCCCACAGCACGATGCCGGAGTTTGTGGCAGTGTAGTTTTTCCTCCGGAGGGTTCGGGTCACCAGCAGATTGATGATCCGGCTTTATTCGGACTGCTCCCTGGTGGTTCATTGCCTGAACAGAGGGGGGGGTTCGATGCGGTCCTTGGCTCTTTGCCGCTGGTCGCTTCGGGTGACTCGTCTGCCGAGTTCTCGGGGTTTGGCTCTCTTGGCAGTTCATGTACGGGGAGTGTCCAACATCTTGGCGGACGGCCTGTCTCGTTTTGTTCCTCTGGCCACGGAATGAATGGTCGACGCCGACGCCTTTTGTTGACTATGCCAGACGTTTGGGCGCCCAGAGGTGGATCACTTCGCGTCAGTCGTGGTCATGGCGCCTTCTGCAGTATGTGGCGCCCTTCCCCGACTGCGAAGTCGTTGGGGTCGATGCCTTTTGGCAGGACTGGACGAGGTGGGGGTTCCTGTACCTCTTTTCCCCGGTTCCGCTGTTGCTTCAGATCCTGACTCGCTTGGAGACGTACCAGAGTAGAGTAGTCCTCTTGGCCCCGTGGTAGCCAGCCCAGCCGTGGTTTCAGACCTGCTTGCTTTGTGTCCGAACCCGGAGGTTTTCCCGTGACTCCGCCTCTTCCAACAGATCAGACAGGTGTGTCACGTGGCTGGTTCGCTCTTCTCGAGTTTTCACGCATGGTGTTTTTGACTCAAGTTTATCATCCTATGGTGATCAGGTGGCTTCCTTGTTGGTGTCCCACCTGCGGGCTTCATCTCGGCGGCAGCATGAAGTTTCCTGGCGGTCCTTCCGGTTCTTTTGACTCTTTGTCGTTGTGCTTCGCTTTCGGCTCGGGTGTTGTCCTTTCTCTCTTGGTTGTTCCAGGACCGTCATCTTATGCCGAATACTTTTGCCTCGTATCGTGCGGTGCTGGTGGAGCCGCTGCAGCTTGCTTTCGGTATTGATGTTACTTCTGCACCGTTTCGCAAGCTATCTTGAGCATTGTTTCACTTCTGGCCTGCTCATGCGCGACCTGAGCTGTCCTGGTCTTTGGACAGAGTACTCTCTTTTCTCTCTTCTCCTTGGTTCGTGGTGGCCTCATCGGTTCAGGATTGTTTCTCAAAGACTCTTTTCCCATTGGCATTGGCCTCTGGGGGTCGGGTCAGTGAGCTTCATGCTCTTCTCCAGTGCAGGGGTTTCTGCTCTTTCGGTCGTGGCGATTGGTTTGTTCGTCTACAGCCGTCTCCTCCTTTTCTGGTGAAGAATGAGATGGCTGCTTTCCAGACGGGTCCCTGGGTTGTTGATGCTTGGTTAGTCAGGCTGGGGGTGCATCATGTTTAGTGTCCGTATGCGGCCCTCCGCCGTTATTTGCGTGCCACGGCTTCTGTGTCCGGGGACATGCTTTGGGTTGTTCCAGTTTCTCTCCGTCCCTGTTCGCGGGTGCGGATCTCCAAGGTCGTCTGCAGGGTTATTAAGGCTAGCCAGCCTACAGTCTATCCCCGTGCTCATGATGTTCGTAAGTTCGCTGCTCTTTTTGCCATCGTTGGCAACATGCCCTGGGAGGGCATTCAGGCACGGGGTTTTTGGCAGTCGAACAGGGTCTTAGTTGCGCACTACCTCATGAACTTTCCTGGGCCTAGTCGGGCCTGTGTTGCTTTGGGTCGGCGGTTGCAACCAGTTGTCTCGACTTCAGGTTGAGGAGTGAGTAGCACCCGCCTCCCAGACAAGTCCCTCTATTTTTCCTCTGTGGGTAGTTAGCTCCAGGGAGCCGACGGGGCTCCCCCCAGAAAACCAGCGTTGAATGTAATGAAACGCCATTTTCTGGGCGAGACCCGGAGGCTTCCCGGCAACCCTCCCTCCCCCCGATCAGCGGTATTCGCGTGTTTTGATGTCCAGCCTCAGAACTGACGGGTGGATGGCCGGTGCGTGTGTCTGGGGCTCCCCCTTCCCCCTCCCAGGGAGGGAGGGAGCTGTGCAGACAGCGGTGCGGTGACGTGTGACGTCATGCTCGTTTGCTCGTTTCTTTTTGGGGAGTTCTATCCACTTGTTCGACTTTTTGTAGCAATTTTCACCAGAATGGGGGTTTGTTTTGAGGCGCTTACCTTTCTGGGTGCCTGACCTGGTCGATGGCAGACATAGAATGCTTCCAACCACATGGGAGTTTCTATAGGCCATTTCTCCCCATGCCTCTCTGAGGGGGCCAGGTTCTGGCTTGTGGTCCCTGGTAGGCTCACAGAACTCCATACACATGACTGATGCCAAAGTCTGACATTAGTATATCAGCCTGGATAGCTCCGAGGAGCCTCCGGGTCTCGCCCAGAAAATGGCGTTTCATTACATTCAACGCTGGTTTTTTTAGGTCCAAATAGGCAGTCAACCCAACTACCTCTTTCCTGTAGTATATCTGTGGCTCTGTCATGAAAACTAAGTACAGCAGATCTGTTACACAGGATCTTTCTGTTCGAAAACCATACTGTGTCTTATGTCATTAGTCTCTAGGTGTTCAACCCAAGTGTCTTCGACTATATTTTTAGTGTTTTGACTTCCATGTCTGTTAATAATATGGGTCTATAATTTAAAGGTTCCTCTCTACTACCATTTTTATAGATTGGTACAATGTTTGCCTTTTTCCATATATCTGCTTAGATTCCTGTGCACAAGGATGTCTGGAATATTAATTTGGAGTGGAAAGCTCAGCTCAGTTGCACATTTTCACAGTACCCAAGGTGAAACTATCAGGTCCAACATCTTTATTTTGTCCTGGCCTAATGAGTAATTTTTTCCACTTCGTCTTGAGATACAGTACCTTTATGTATTATATGGCATGCTCTGGAAGTGGTATTGGGTCCAGCTCTCTGAAATCCTCATTTTGTACACACACACTTTGAAATGCTAATTGAACAGTTCCACACATTTCTTTTACATTTTCAGTAGTCCTGTTCCCTGTTCTCAATCTCTGGATTTTATCCTTTACATGCAGCTTGCTTTTAATGAATTTATAGAAAAGGCTTGGGTCTGTTTCACATTTGTCCGCTATACCTTTCTCAAAGTTCCTTTCTGCCTCTTCTCACTGCTGTGCATTTTTTTTTTTTTTTTGAGATATATGCAAGAGTTGTTACATTCTTGTACAGCCACTAGTATGCGTAGCGTTTCGGGCAGGTTCCTGGAATACAATCCCGACCGCGAAGAATCATTGTTACAACCAAGTACACATTTTATTGTTGCATTAAACAGAGGCTACAGTTAAGGATTTGCGCCCAGTAAATCCTCCCCAGCCAGGATACGAACCCATGACAAAGCGCTCGCGGAACGCCAGGCGAGTGTCTTACCACTACACCACGGAGACTGGAATTGTTTCTTGCTTACTTGTAGAGCTGGTATGTTTGTGGATTAGGCCTCTTCCGATATTGAACCCATTTTCTTGTCTTATCCTCTCTGGCCCTCTTACAATTTCTGTCAAACCAATCCTGTATTCTGGTCCTGCATCTCTGTTTTGGTATAAATGTTTGTGTCTTCATCATATATTTAGCAAAATTTGGCATAAATCTCATTTACTTCCTTGCCTAGCAAAGAGTCTGTCCAATTGAACTCATTAAAGAATTTTCTAAGTAAACCATAGTGTCCTCTCTTGAAATCTAGTTTATCAACCAATGTCCCCATTCTCTTCTAGATTATAACACAAAGCATATTTAATTTCCAACAGGACATGATCACTCTTTCCCAAGGGAGGAAGGTACTGAATGTCAAATCTCTCTTCTTTCCTATTGAATATTAGATCCAGTATTGACGGAACATACTCTTCCCTCATTCTTGTGGCCTGTTTGACATGTTGATATATTAATGTCTCCAGAATGAGGTTTACAAATCTGCCTGTCCAAATATGCTCCGTTCTTGCTTCATAGTCTTGCCTACCCAGTCTTGCTTTCAAGTCGAAGTCCCCCAGTACCAACAATCGTGTTTTATCTATCTGTCTGTCTGTCTGTCTGGGTTGTCGTGGTTTAGTCCTGAAGCCCTCAATATTCCTTAATACAAGACTTGACTTGGTCCTGGAATGATTATTGTACTGCACTGAGCTGTTTTATATGCAGATATGTCCTTCTGACAGTCTGAAGATGAGGTCTCCATGCTTGGATATACAGTAGTAGGTCAGATAGGGATGCACAAGTATAGCTGATCTGTGTACTGTCATCATTCTGACTACTGTATACAACCCCAATGGTACTACAGTAATCATTCTGATAACTCATTAACTCTTGGATATTAACATTTTGAGACAGGCTGGCTGGCTGGCTGGCTGGCTGGCCTTACTCCTTCACTCTCACTATGGAATAAGCATGCGAATTTTTCTCCCTCAGAAACCCAAATAATATCATTTTGGAAATTTTGCTCATCTATATACCTAATAAAAACCACTAAAGCATTGTCATTCGAACCAACTTTTAAATTCTCATCATTTAACATAATACCACTTTAACAAAAAAATGAGCAACTTCTTACCAGCAAGATGAGTGCATTGTCGAGGAGGGTGTCTCATATGAACCATATCATAATCTGTGCGAACACCAGACCCCAGTCCCACTCCAAGGTACATTTTTTCACTGGGTCGAAGAACATGAACAAACATGGGTACCTGACTAAAAGTGCGGGGGAAAAAAATAAGGTTTCTTGAAAATGGGAGGAAGATTTATAATCAGTATCAGTATATCTGTACAGTTATATGAACTACAGGCTTTATTTTTTACTAAATATGAACAACTGATGAAAAAAAAAACATTTCTGACCAGTTGGTATTATTAGCAGCTATAGTAAGTGATGACAGCAGAAGCTTGGACTTGGATGGGGAGATGATAGGTTGATTTGGGTTCAACGGGGCGAGAGTGACAAACTCCCGTAAACCATACCAGCGTACAAGGCAGTGCGCCCGAGCTGGAAAATCATTCTCCCTATTCATGAGATCATCCAGTGCCTGTGGCAGCTTCTCTGTTTCTTCTTCAGTTTCATATTCTGGAAATACATTGACAAGATTATTTGATTTATTGGAATCTTGTCTAACAATATGATACAATTCCAAGTTTTCTGTAATTATTGTACATGTAAAAATTCATAGTGGTTTCTTATTTCTTTCCACAATATTTGGGATGTGGTAGTACTGGCCATTAAAGAAAATTAAAATAATGAAAGATAAAATGATAAAAAAATACATAATTAAATAAACTGGAAAAAATGTGGAAAATGTTCACAATTGTCAAAATAATTTAAGCCAAGATCTGTCCTTGGGGTTCGGGAGTAAGGTCACCAACTGCATAGTTTGCATAGAGCACCAGTTGCTGGCAGCTGGGCTAGGCTTGGTCTTGAAAACCACAACTGGCCCTCTCATTATCCCTTTCAAGGTAAAGTAGTGGCATAGTCATAATTAGTAGGCTACCCAGGAGCACTGTCACTCAGTTGCCATCTCATTGTGGGGAAAAAAAAGACAGCATGCCAGACTGAACCTAAATCAACCTAGAGGAGCGAGGTAGTCTAGTCTACAGCGTATCTAAAATTTTGTACACAAGCCCCAATGCTAGGCAAGGTTGTCTGGTTCAGGATAGCAAACTGTGGGACTATATTTGTCAAGAGACACTTGTTTTTCCCTTCGTTTTAATATTTGTCTATAGTGATGCATCACAGTGTCACTGAATAGGTTAAGGCAACGGCTTACTACAACTTGCTCTGGGCAAGTCATTTCAACAAAAGTTTGCATTTCTTCCCATAGTCTACATCATAGTCTACACTACATACATAGTCATCCAAATTAATAACAACTGTTCAACTTTCTCAAGTGTTTGTGTTCTATGTTTCGTGATTATTGATATGCCTTTTGCCACTTTAGCACTCATAATGTCCTTTTTCTTAGCCAGTATGGTGGATACCATTGACAGGTTTGTTGTACTGCCTAGCTAGTTCAACAACATGCACACCATCCTCATATTTATGAATGATCTCTTGTTTTTGCTCTATGGTGTTCCTTACATGGGTTTTCATATGTTGAACCTTACCACTGACTTTCTTGGGACCCATGGCGTGATATATAATAATTACTTTTATGTTCAAAAAGGAAAAAATCACCACAAAAACGGAATTTTTTATAGGCGTGATCATCACTAAGCTGGCAGCTGTAGTAAACTGAGGCAGGTCGGCCCGCGTGACCGGGAACCATGCTTTCGGTCGACCCGAACGTGTACCAACAAATATCGTTAGTTGACGACACCATCACATGTCAAGTCGCATTTTTCGATCAAATTTACATCGTAACTCGAAATTAACCTAAGTCGGGGCAATCGTAAGTCGAGGTGCCACTGTACTGTATTCATTTAAGTGCTTTTTATATCTGTGACATGTAAGGCCTATTGAGGTCCTGAAGGCAAATCAGACCAGCTGACTAACTCCCAGGTACCTGTTTATTGCTAGGTGAACATAATCATCAGGTGTAAGATGCCTATGTTCTTACACATTTACAAGTGAACAAATGTCACACTCACTTTACTCGTCAATGAAGCTTCGACAAAGAGTGATTATCTTTGATTTACAAAATTTCACCTTAATGTTATTGTTTACAGTAAGAGGGGCATAATACATCAATATTACATTTTCTTTGTATTGTGAGAAATCAAATATCAACAGGATATCTAAAAAAAAACCAGCGTTGAATGTAATGAAACGACATTTTCTGGGTGAGTCCCGGAGGCTCCCCGGAGCTATCCATGGCTGATATGGATACCCTAACTATTTTGCATCAGTCAATGTGGGTGGAGTTCTAGGCCTACCGGGGACCACGAGCCAGAACCTGGCCCCCTCAGAGAGGCACGGGGAGCAATGGCCCATAGAAATGCACATGTGATTTGGAGCATTCTATATCTGCCATCGACCGGGACAGGCTCCCAGAAAGATAAGCGCCATAAAACAAACCCCTATTCTGGTTAACCCTCAAACCGCGCATATCATATATAAATGATATCAGTGACAAAATCGAAACCGCGCACATCATTTATATATGATTTCGTGTCTAGCGGTATAATTTAAACGCCCCGCCTGGGATAGGGGCAGCTATAGTACAGCCACGACCGATAGTTGCCAGATGCCACCTAGAAAAAAAATCCAAGCCAACATTCTTGGGTGTTACAGTGTCAGTATTGAGCAAGCCACCAAGGCTGGCGCACGCAGCACGAGCTCACAGCACCGCTGTTCAGCTTGTGACTACAGCATCGCCTACAAATACCATCATATAAATGATACTGCTATTATTTAGCAGTGATAGTATTACTGAAGCCCCCTGACTGTGATAAAACTGACCAGGATTCTGATAATAGATTGTGGTGATATTTAGCGCTGTGCTCCATGGAGGGAGGAGTAAGGCTGTGGGAGGGAGGGTTGTGGCGTCGTTTTCTGACTGTGTGTGGCCACCATTTATTGACTGCACTCACCATACCAGCTTTTTGGTTCGATATGGTGAACACAAATGTAGATACTTATATATAACGTGTGTATAGTGTGAGATAACAGCGAGAGGAGTAGGTTGGGAGCCGCCATTTTGGTGAGGGAGGAGCGTCGTCTGCACGACTTGGCATGTTGTTTACTGATGGCCACTATGGTCTTTGGGCACCATACCAGCTTAATTGTTCAGGTATGGTGAATAAAACAGGTAGATACTTATATATAATGTGTGTATATAGTGTAATAACACCACAAACAATATTGTTGAAGGACAAATATTAGTGCGTCTGGCCTTGAGGGCGGCCGCCGATCAGCTGACTGTGTGAGTAGCTACGTCTTATGGCCTTTACTCACCATACAAACTTAGATGTACAGTTATGGTGAACAAAACATGTAAATACGTATATATAACGTCTGTGTATAGTGAATAAATACAGAAAGAGTATTGTGGGAGGTGAATGAGGGTGAGTGAGGTGGTGTTGAGGGAGGGAGTGGCAGTGAGTGGCTCGCTGGTGTTTGGCGGTCACTCCTCGTTGCTTTTTGACTCACAAGACCAACTTAGTAGTTCGTTATGGTGTACAAAACATGCAAATGCTTATATATAACCTGTGTATATAGTGTAACAACAGCAAAACTGTTTATTGTTTTATGAACATAATAATTGAATCATTAATATGCACACCATAAATTTGAGTACAGCGATGATTCACACATTTTATAATATAAATATACCACAATTCCCTGTATGGAATAATATTATTGCAAAAAAACTAAGAAAAAATCAGAGACATTGAAATAATTAGGTAATAATATATTCGTGGCAACTGCCGTCTGACAGCTCGAGCGGAGTAGACTTCGTCTGGCGAAGGCTCTGCCAACGCCCCTTTTTTGCCACACTTCCCTACCCTATTGCGGCTAAAATATGCCACCTACCATTTTTTTTGTTATTTTTTCCGTGATCAGGGAACAAAAATGAACACTTCTATAAGACGAAAGAATTTTTTGGACTTTTTTTTGTTGCGACTGTGGGTGTGAATTCCATTTGGGCCCCTAGCGGTTTGAGGGTTAAACAACAAAAATCGACAAACGAGTGGACAGAACTCCCCCAGGAAAACGAACTAACAAGCATGACGTCACGCGAGCCGCGCCGCATGTCTGCGCAGCTCCCCCCTCCCCGGGAGGGGGAAGGGGGAGCCCTAGACCCTGGCGCCGGCGATCCCCGCCCCAGTTCTGAGGCTGGATATCAAAACCGTGAAAAACCCGCCGACCTGAGGGCGGGAGGGTGCCGGGGAGCCTCCGGGACTCATCCTGAAAATGGCGTTTCATTACATTCAACGCTGGTTTTCTGGGGGGAGCCCCTACGGCTCCCCGGAGCTACCTCACCAAAGACTACCTAAAAAACAAGGGGACATACCCGGGAGGCGGTCGGAGAATCACTCCACAACACGAAGTCGAGACAACAACCCAAGGTATAGCATTCGCCAGAAAAAAGGGAGAACGGCCACAGACGAAGAAAACCTATGATCACGACAATAGGAGCCAAAAACCACTGCACCTGAGAAGAGCAAAAAGCTCTGCCACACGGCCCCCAGAGGCGAATGCCAACACAAAAAGAAAACCAAGGCAAAGCAAACCTGACCCCAAGGAACCACAACCACCAAGGAGAAGAAAAACAGGAGAGCACCCTGTCCAAAGACCAGGACGACACAGACAGTGCATAAGCAGGCCGGAGGTGTAAAAACACACGATACAACCTGCGAAACGGCGCAGAAGGAATATCGATACCGAAAGCTAGCGGCAGAAACCAAGGTGCCAGACCCAGGAACGGCCCCAAGCGCCTCTACATCCTCCGCAAGCCAATCCTATGACAGCCCCAGGAGGGAAAAGAAAACGCAGGACCAAAACGAAAATGCCACAAGTGTGCAAGACCACCTCCCCAAGTGCAGCTGACAGGGAAGGAACTCGCATAAGGAGCCGCCCTGCACCAACATCCCGCAGAAGGGCAGGAGCGAAAAGACTCATGAGGAGGAGCAAAATCGCTCCCAGGAAAACTAGGAGCGCCGAGACAGTGTGAAGAGAAGAGATATTCACAAAAGAACAAAAAGGCCAACACCCAGAAGCTGCTGGGAAGAGGACCCACAAGCCCTAGAAAGGACCGAAGGGAAGCTCAACCGAATGACGACAGACGCACCAGAAAACGGAAAGGAGCAACACAGTCCCGAACCTTCGAGAACAAAAAGAAGCAAACACAAAGGAAGAAGGCCTCAAAACCCCGTCGCACCCGAGACCAAAAGTCATGCAGAAACCCCAAGAAGAGGGGGACATGACGGAAGAAGGCCCGTCCCGGAAAAAGGAGCGAAGATCGTAGAAAAGTACACACCGACAGGACGGAAACAACGGGTACAACGGACAAGGAAACCAAGCCCAGGGAGGGGCCGACGCTCACAAAGCACGTACGGAGAGGGGGAACGGAAAACCTCACACCACAAAACTGCAAGTCCCCCCCAGAGGGTTAGAAACACCCCGGCGGG